CTTCGCTACTTTGGGGGGGGGGTCGCTACTTTAGGGAGGTCGCTACTTTCGGGATTTACTAGCGGCCACAAAAAATTGACGTTAATTTCGGGGGGGCGCTACTTTCGGGAGGTCGTTACTATCGGAACTTTACGGGAAGTCCACTGTATTTTTTGTAATGCCTGCCTAGTAACTTCGCTTAAGTTAACTCTGAATCGAGGTTACTAGGAAACAGTGCCTATTGTTACGCAAGCGAACAGACTCGCTCAGTTCTACCAACTTTTCTTGAAGCGCGTCCAAGTACCAAAAAATAATGCAACGTCTGCTTACCTGAAAAGTGAAGTTGGTAGATCTTAACAGTATCACTCCCAAATAATTACTTATCAGTACAGCACGCTTTTGTTCGATTAGTTTTGTGAGTTTTCTTCCCAAAGAACGGCAAAAAGCGATTATCTTTAGAACTGAGAAATGCGATCAGGACCGAAACGTGTTTTTAAGTTACATCCATTTTGATTAGCATTTGGTCTACTTTATCTTCATTAACTATTCAAATTGCCCACAAAGTTAGATTAATTATTTTCAACAATTAAATTTCTGTTTCTTAACAATTTTTTCTTTCAGAACTATAATTTCTTTAATGCTCCTTTTCAGATTAGCGATAAAATCTGTTTAATCCTTTATATGCTCGAAATTTTAAAACTTTTATATTTCTTCATTTTAAATGAAGTTTGATTTCACTGAAAGTGAAACAAGCAATGTTTTTAGAGAGCTCAATAGACATTTCGCGTCAAATATGCTCTTGACATGTAAAACATAAGGACGACTGAATCAGAGTGGTTCTGGATGTTAGTCCTTCTTTCAAGGACCAAAGTTAAGTAAAATCAATGTTAATTGTCGCCCTTTGCCGCTGCCATTAACGGAAGGCTTAAAAGGGGAAATTTACATGCTATATTTACATGTTTCTTGTTAATCTTAAGATAAATTTTTAGGCGGATTTTCAAGGCCCATCTTTTTTTTTCAGTGTTGGACTTAAATCAGTGCTATGTATCAATGACATAAAGAGGGTAAATTTACCAAAAGCTCTTGTGCCGGCAATGAGGGCCAAGAACAGAAAATAATCCGTCCATTTGTTCAGTAAAATCGAAAATCAAACGATTTGAGTTATTTGAGAGTATATATGCCACTTTCCGGTGCTACGACTGCGCAACAAAGACTCTATGGTCAGTTGTAACAGGGTAAATGATATTTCACCAAGTGACAAAATAGTAACATTCCTAACTTCGAATTAAAAATTTTGCAACAGAGATGCAGAAAAGGCTGAGATAAAATTTAAATGCTTCCTCCCCTGATGTAAGAACTACTGACCTTGCCCATGAATTCTCTCGGCCTTTGTAGATCGCTGCTCCTTGGTTCTTCCGTGCTATCCCTCAAGCCTTTATATAAACCTTCTGGTTCACCCGGTGTCGTGTTTTGCAGTACTGATCTAACCTTCTGGATCAGGTCTTCCTCGAAGTTTTTCAGTGTTTCGTCCTCACCTCACTTTAAAGGCCTAAAGTAGCGTCATGAGATCTTACTCTTAATTGACTAAAAGGTGAACGCAAATAAGGGCAAACAGCTGCGGGGACAGTTTGTAAAATCAAGGAACAACCGTTTCCTCCCCTCTATGCATTGTGACTAAGAAGAAAAAACAAGCCGAGCATTGCTTACAAATTTGCGAACAGAGGAACATCACTGAGTTAAGTCTCTTTTACCGCTCATAAATAAATCTAAATAAATTATTGCAGTAAAACTGAATGAGTAGGTGAATAAAACAAGATAAATGATATTGTAAAACTGACGATAGATATGCACCGTTCCTCGGGGAGGAGGGGAAGGCGCTTATTTAAAACTTCGGCGACAAGGGAGGGGGTGGCGCGCTTAATCGAGGAACACACTTATACGTTTAGAACAGTTATAGGACAACAATTGAAAAGAAAAATAAGGCAAATGAAGGAACTCCGCGAGCACAAAGAGATAGAAATAACGAAAACGAATAAAAGATTATCCTCTTATACTGATTCCGCTCTAGTTGAAGCTAAAATAGTTGTAAATATTATGGCAATGAAAACAGGTTTTTCTTGTATGCCTTCTATTTAAGTGAAGGAGGAGGCGGAGCACCTCTTCGAGAGGACAAGGGGGGAGGGGGGGCACTTGTTTGACATTATAGCCTAGCCGCCAAGGGGTGGGCCTTTATTCGGGGGAGGGCGCTTATTCCTTCATCGCAAAATTAACCGGTCAGTCCCCATACTTATCATCAACTGTGATGAAAAGATCGGTGCATTGTGGCACAGAATTGGAAATCATCAAACCGACCTATTTCAATTTGGAATGATAGATCTGTGTGGTAGCAGAGATGGCGTAGTGGCGAGAGCGCTACTGTGGCCTGGGTTCCCAGACCTAGCATCACAGTGTGGGTCGAGTTTTTTGTTCGTTTTTGTCCTTGCTCCGAAGGGTTTTTCTCCAAGTCCTCCGGTTCTCCTTCCTCCACATAAACCAAATTCCATATTCCAAATCGATCTCGAAACCGTGGACAAGAAGAGCCACCAATAGTGTAATTTCCGCTTGCTAAATTCCCAGTTATTCAGTCACTTATCTTTGCTTTATTCCTTCGCCTGGCATATTCTTTAGAACTACTGAGTTTTGAATTTGAAACCCATATCGTAGGATTAATGGTGCATTTGTATATTTCTTTTTGTTCGTTCAAAACAGTGCACCATTATGATGTTTATTTGAGAATATTCTTACCACAAGGAGTTACAGTCTAATGAAAGTTATTACTTACACGGCCTCTACTTTGGCTGCTTTAAAGATGGCAGTTGACTCCTCTTGGTGTTTATCTTTTGATGATAGATAATATACTTTACGGGCACCCTTCTACAAATGGAAAAAGAGATATCCATCAGTTAATTACCGCTTCCACACTGAGGGAAACTAACTGGACCGCCTGCGTAATACAACAAACATTTAATCCCTAAGATATAAGGACACAAGTTTGCATTCTAAGACACACAGGCTTCGGTAACAAGGCTTAAAAATCATCCTGTTTAGCCTGCCAGTGGGAGAAACTTGAAATTAGCAAGGAAAAGGGGGTTGTACAGTAACCTCTTTTAATATCGGTAACTCACGGACTCTCGCTGGCGCGCGTAATAAATCGTGTAATAGTTGCTAATTCTGAACTCCCTAACGGAACAGAGTAAGCGATTAGAAACCTTCCGGATGGCCTTTTTAAGTCAACGCAATCAATGAAGACAACACTCAAAGTTCTCATTAAGCCAACCACTTGATGCAGGTTTCAAGATGCAGATTCTCTCGCTTATGGGCCCTGTTTCACACAGGTTTCACTATGATAAGTTGTATGAATGTTCTCGATATCACTCACCGCTATTAGCATTTTCGCACACTCCCGACAGGGAAACATTGCAACAAAAGCAATTGAACCTTCAAGGTCAGCTTGGCCTGCCAGGAGCACAGCGTTGGCCTCCGCGTGGACGACAAAAGTATGTTTTGCTTTTTTCTCCCAGTTTTCGTCCTTGTTTGGGGTTCCAGGAGGAAATCCATTGTAGCCGACGCTCAAGATCTGCCAAGGGTTAAATTATGGGAAGTTAGTCTGTCAAAGGGAGAGTTCACCCGCCGAATTTTTCTGTCCAAAATGGTACCAGTATAACGTCGGCAAAATCACAACCATAGTTTTTCGGCAATACAGGTTTCTTTTTTCTAACAGTGCTTTTTAAGCATGATAATATTTCTTGCTATATTCCCTTACAGACTTAAAAAATAAAGCCAACAACGTAACTCACCTTCAGTGATTTTGGGTGCACATTTACGCATCCCACTTGCAGGATCGGGTCTTTTGACCTCATGGAGGCACAGAATACCACATCCCGGTAAAACTCGACCCACGTCGACCGCTAACAAAGAGAAATTTGTTAGATTAATTTCCATTTTCCTCAGTCTAATTCAAGACCAAAGCACCATGTGTTTTAATGGAAAAATAGAAAGACCATGAAGTTTTTGCCCGTTTGTTGCATACATCCCGTAGAATACCAATTGTTCTGCGGACATTTAGTGGGACCAACATTGGACCAAGAAAAACTTAAAGGTTAGTCGTAACTGATCACAACCATAGTTTTTCTACAATACAGGTTTCTTTTTTCTATGATGTTTTTTAAGCATGGTTATGTTTGTCAGTGTATGTTCTCTTACAGACATAAATAATAGCCTACAATATTACTCACCCTCAGTGATTTCCGGTGCACAATGACGCATCCCACTCGAAGTCTCGGGCCTTTTGACCTCATGGAGACGCAGAATGCCACATCCCGGTAAAATTCGACCCACGTAGACCGCTAACAATTCGAGACACAGAGAAGTTTGTAAGATGAATTTCCATTTTTTTCACTCTAATAACTGATTTAGAATTAATTGACATGTAAGTCGCGAGAGCACAAAACAAAATGGCGGACAAGAGAGGAGAAAGTAACAACGTTTTAATTCAGAGTTTAAGGGAGAATGCTTTAAACAAAACACCAAACAAAGGAAAAAAACTGGTTAAATGTCTGGCTTCCATAAAACGGATATGAAAGAACGGACCGGAGGCCCTGAACAAAATTTTCTAGGAGTCTTATGCAACAGTTCATACGAAAGACAGAGAAGATTACGAGCGTGATAACTTTCGTGTGTTGTTTACTGCTGTCGACCGATGCCTAACGGAGAAAGAATACAGACTCTCAATTATTTGCGAGGGAGATTTTAAAAGTTTTAAGCCAACTCTTGAGGATGAAGGCCATTTACTCCGTTAACAAGAGGGGCAAAGGCAAGCGGCCGAACTGTTGGGCCATGACACGAAACAAAGGCAACTACAAAGGAAAACAGAATAATTTTTGCCTGTATGTTATCAACTAGTAATCACATGATTTTTCTCGTACAATTTGGCATAAATCAGCACCCGTATATGTTCTAAAGACTACAAATTTGGTTAGCCTTTGAAAAATTTAGTCGTGCTGATCAGTTATCTCAAATTGCACTTGAAATAATGTGATTACCGATACTAATTACCTATATGTCTGTTGAATATGTAAATATCCTTTTGCTTCCTTCTGTCTCAATCGAAGAAACGGAAGACGCGAACCATGGTGAAAAAAACTAAGCAAATATGAAAGAAATTCTAGATTTTGTGTCAAAGCTAATTTTGTAGTTTTATCTTTGATAGAAGGTCAGAAAAATACGAGTTAAGAGTCAAGCCCGTACACGAAATTAGAATAAATAAAGATGTGAAATGGAAGACAAAACGTGAGAGAAATAAAATTTTTAAAAAAATACAAAGCGAGCTCTTTTCAAAATGGTGGTGGTGTATGTGCAAGTTTAGCACATTTGTAGACATAAAGTAATATATTCAACGGAAAAATCAATGTCTGGAGATTAAAAGTAGATGGTTTCTGAAGCACACTTTTTCTTTAAATTACTTGCAAAAAAAGTCCCGGGTAGCTAACCTACGGTGGCTCATAGAGGACACGCCATCCACTTTTAAAATTCAATTTTATAGCGCGATGAAATCAAAACATCGCGCGATAAATGGGAAACTTGTTAGGTCGCATGTGATCGGCTGTCACGCACGTTTTTTCTATAGACGAGACGACAATGGCTACAACAGATGAAGAGGTATGTTTTGAGGTCAATAGTTTGTTTCATTTTCGTGAGAAGATCATCGAGCAGTACTTTGCAATACTACTACGACACACAGCTCTGTGAATCAGTTCAGTAAACCTTGATTTTGCGAAATCTTACCAGACACTTTCAGAGATAGCTGTCAGTGTCTGAGAACAAGTGTGGATTATCTAATCTTTCTGATTACATTACAAGTTTGTAAATTTCTGGATGTCACCTCTGCATCGCCAGCCCCGTTAAGAAAGAACTTTCCAACTGTTGCAGCCATTGTAGTCTCGTCCGCGCAAACGACGTGCGTGACAGCCGATCACGTGCGACCTAACAACTTTCACATTTATCACGCAATAACGTTCATTTTTCGCGTGATATTTTGATTTCATCACGCGATAAATCTTCTTTAAGTCAACCTGTGAAACCTGTGAATTTAGCGTGTCCACAAGTGCCTAACACGTCGTCTAACCGCATTCTATCGCTAGAGGTGTTTTGCTACGGAAAATAGTACGAATATCTCCACTATGAAAAGGAAATCTCTTTAACTTCTTTAAGCCGTAATAGACGAAAATAAAAATGCATTAGCACGATCGCTCGCTGAAATTTATTGTTTTGCCTTCAAAAACGAAACAGGCTTGTCGGGATATGTAGTTGCGTCGTTTTTTCCTCTCATAATATTTATTCTGCTCTGCTTCAACGTATTGAGCACTGTTCGAAAATCGACTTGCAGACTTCCTATATATATATGTATATATATTTCTTTCTCGTGTAGTTGATTGGTTAAATGTTTTTAAACTGTGATTAACGTAGGACTAATGTAAACTATTCTAATATTCCGTTTTTCGTGCAAAGCTTTACATTTTTCTGATCTAAGACTAGATTGAGTTATTTTGACAGCCAAATGATTATAAATTTAATGGCATGGATTTGGTACATCTGTATCAATATGAATGTGGTTTGCTTAAATCGACAAATTCATCACTTTTAGAATTCTCTCTTTTTTCTGCATATACTTTGTGGTCATCTTTGTCATGCTTTTCGTGTTAGTTTCAGCGTGTACTAGCGAGCATTTATGCGTGAGTGTAATGCACAGTGTTTGACAGGTCAACTAGAAAACAACTCCTTATGTATGAAATAATTCCCCCTTCTGAATGAAGCCCCCTGTCTGGAACTTCAAGTTTGCAATAAGTTTCTCTATATTGAGGTCCTCCCTTTCCAAAACAAAAACTCTAAAACAGCTGTGATATTGATATTCATTTGGGTTAGTTTGCGCCTTAGTACAAAATATTCGTGTCCTTGAAAGCTTGTACTAGTTTCCTTCAAGGGAAAAGGAGTAAATCCCTTATTTTCTCTTGTTTCCTAATTAGATATCACAGGGTTTTTTCCAAAGAAAGTCATATTGTAAACAGAATTTATTAAACCTGGGCGAAAATTCAGAAAAGAAACATAATACGCATTTTGACCCTCGAAAATTTTTCAAACAATCCCTTTCCCCTTCTCTGACAAGCCACCTTTCCAGTGAGCCCCCTCCTTCCCCCCTCGTAAAATCGCCCTCGTCCCTCTCCAGAAGCCTCCTCTGCGATAGTACTCGTCTTCCCTCTCTGTCAAGCCCCTTCTGCATTAATCCTCCCTTCCTCTTTGGCAAAGCTCCTTTGCAGTAGTACCCCTCCTCCCTCCCGGGCAAGCTTCCCCTGCCGTAATTCCTCTCTTTCCTCCCTGGCAAGCTCCCTCGCTAATAATCCCCTTCTTCTCTCTCTAATGAGCCTTCCGCCCAGGAAATTAGAAATTACCTTGGTATTTCATTAAGCGTTTAAAATCACTTTCAAAGAATAAAATTTTCGTTGCTTGTCTGGCGTTTTGAGAAATTGGATATATAAATAAGGAATAGATAAAGTGATTTGATTTCTGTTGTGAGTGAAATTATTGTTGTTTTGATTCATACAGGTACAAAATCGTTTTCATTTATTGGTACCTCTGGTTTACCTTGAGAATCTAATGACCTTCACCATGCACGTGCTCGATATGGGTGGGCATATTTAGAGACAGCACAAGTGGTGGTTGAGATCTAAAGACAACTTCCTATTTAAATCAAAATATTGGGACAAGCGACATTGTTTGTCTTATCTAGTATTAAGGACATTCAACTCTATAATTCGCTTCTGCTCTATCTCCATTTTACTTAGTTTAGAGAATTGGTCAAAAGTGTTTTAAACCCATGCTCAACCGAAGAGTCTCCCTTTCCATTTAAGGTAGTCTTTGAAGAGGGCCTCAATGAGGTTTACCCGTGACCAGTCAAAGGGCTTATTGACTGACGGTTAAACTTTAATCGTCAGCTGTGAAAAAGGATAGATTTTACCATCAACCGTCAAAATTCAAATCAATATCTAACCATCAAACACTTCATTGAATCTCCTTATTTAAGCCGCTTGCTAACAATAGTTTTAGACCTTGAAGAATCTTTAAAATGGTAAACTTAGTCTCCAGATTTCCAAAAGTTGCCCAGTTTATCGTCATTTTCACTAATCGTAACTGATTAACTGGCTGGTTTCACATTTTCGCCCGTAAAACGAACAGATTGTAAATATTGTAATATTTTCCTTGATGCTTTAAACTTGTGTTTGCGCACGCCACTACGCACCATTCCTGGTGTCACGTATAGATAATGTTGAGTGTCCTGGAAACTAGTCGAACGAAAGAGAATCCAAAATGTGCACGAGATACTAAAGAATAAATAGACCGTAAGACAGTACAAAGAATGCACTAGATACAAACGTGACATAAGACGCGAAAATCCAATAAAAGCGAACCCTAAATGAGCGAGGAATACTCACGTTTCCATCCATTGAAACAGAATCCTATGAGTGTACGAGATACAAACACAACAATCGAAAGAAAAGAATTCTAAAAATATAATGTGCAATGTAATAACGTAACTTACGAATGAAGGAGTATCCTGAAGTGCTCAAGATAAAAACTAACGTAACAATCGAATGAAAAAGAATCCTAAGAGTGCGTGAGATAAAAACGCAACAGTGGCATGAAAGGGAATCTTTAAAATGTGTGAAATGCTAACAAAAATGCGCGAGATACTGACATTACTTATCAATGAAGAATTATCCTAAAAGTGCACGAGAAACTAATGTTACAATCGAATGAATGATAATCCCAAAAGTTTGCGAGATGGTAACGTAACATTTATTGTTGATGTTCGAAAAAGGAAAAATATAATTTTTATTATAACTATTAGAAATATATCTTCTTCTTAATAAAAGTCAACCTCGAAGGCCCTTAAATTTAATTACAAACCGTCAAAGGCCATAAAATATTAACCATCAACAGGAATGGGTTCCCGCCATCAACCATCAAATCTACCCGGACTTTTCCCGGACAAGGATATCCACAAGCTGAAATGGCATTCCAAGAAAGCAAGAACAGCCACCAGCTTGACCACATCATGATTAACGGGACCTGCAGGAGCTCACTACAAGATGTACGTGTTTGGCGAGGTGCGGTCGTTACTATCACTTGCTTTCTGCTGTTTTGAAGCTCAAGCTCAGAAGGACTGGGAGGCAACCTCACAGACATCAAAGGTTCGATACATGCAGAGAGGCTGAAACGACCTGATGTTGCGAAAGCGTTTGTC